CTTCACGGAGCATGGTACTTCAACATCCATGATCGTTGATAGCCAAGTGTGGATGGCTGACCAGGCTAAGCCCTCATCATTCATGAAATGGGTGAGCTCCAGAACAAGGCCATTCGTCACAGTCGACGTCTGGTCAAACTCCTCACGTTTTGACTTTAGCCTGTCCGAGCGACGACGCGATTCCTTGAATCCTACTGCTGCGGCGTTCAGCAGGAAGCACTTTGACAGACCAGCTTCACGACAGAACTCGCCAGGGCATCCTGATTCGCTTCGATCACTCATCGTTGCATGGCATTGCCTGCATAAAACAAATGGTCAAAAATTTGAATTTTTGAATTTTGTACAGGAATAGATGGCGCAAAAATTGAAGATTCCTTTTGAAATACTGCTCAATACGGCTGAGGTGCACGAAGACAACGATAACCTACCTTGCCAAAATCAAGGACGCGGAAGACGATGGTGCTAGTTTCCAAGTCGTGCAGTGGAGCAAACTGCCAGAAACGCGTCAGCTAAATGCTGCGACAAAACGAAAGCAACGACAACTCTGCGACAGGAAGGAGCACGGAAAAGCTGTTTGAGTCGTCGTGGAGCTGCTGCCGTACTGCAGCAGAAGACAACGACACCATCTTGCTTTGAACAGCGCGTGAGCGAGTTTTCGTGCATGACGTCAACCATGGTCAACCAGTCTTTGTCTGTGTGCCATGAAGCACGTACATTTTGAGTGGGCTTGAAGTGTGGCTGAGAACCCCGCATCAGTCACGTGACTGAACACGCTAGCCTTATGAGAAGATTGGCAGGTTGATCTCCCAACGGGGAAGCATTGATTTTTTCTTGCTCATCGTGTGCCTCGTGCACCTAGTTTGTGTGTGTGTGACACCTTTCTCCGACGCAGCTTTTCGCGCTCATTATCAATATGATCGTGCGTAATTAGACATATTGCCAGCCGTACTGATCAGCAACGATGTTCGCTTACTTTGTGTGACCAGGACAAGCCACACCAGCTAACAGCAGTGTACATAAAAAGAGGCAGGATATACAGTTTGTAAAACAAAATTTTGCATTTGACAGGAAGGTGGAAACAATGGGGACGTATAACACCTAGGGCAGAGCTTGAACGGCTGCAAAGAGCATCAATATGGTAAGACCAAGAGAGACGATCATCAAGCATTATTCCCAGGTGTTTATGGTTGGAAACAACCGTTATGGGTTCTGGGAAATCAGGATGGTGTAAAAGTGACATGGATGAGATCAGGGGAAGGAACATTATTTGGGTTTTAGTCAGGTTGGGTCTAAGTCGCCATGTTTGCATCCACCGTAGGACATTGCATATTATTATTATTATTATTAAATTTTGAATACATATCTGAGCCGAAACTCGAGGTACAAGAGCCGCTGAGGACGAGGATGCTGACAGTAGGGTTGTATCATCAGCAAATAACGAGACACCTGGGTCTATAGAGGGTAAATCGTTTACGTATGCTAAGAATAAAAGAGGTCCAAGTATGGAGGCTTGGTGAACTCCAGAAGACACTGGTAGGGGATCAGAGTTGATGGAGAGGGCAGAAACAAACTGTGACCGGTTACTTATAATAGGACTCCAGCCAGGACAGAGCAGGGTCAGACACACCAAAGACAGTATGTAGCTTGGCAAGGAGGCCACGATGTAAGTCGCTAATCTCTTCCCCTTTTGTGTCCGTGCTTTTCATTTTCTTTTTTCTCTTCTTCCGTGGTTGGTCTCAATTGGCTGTCTTGACATGCTACGAGATGCAGAAATAAATAAATAAACTGCCATAAAGTACGGGTAGTTGCATGATCTAGCCTCATTCTATCATCCATAATGCTCCTGTAGTAGCTCACATTGTACCCCATCGTAACCCCATCCCTCTGCAATGTGTTGGCTTCCTTACTTGCAAGGCTGATTTCATATGATTCTGGACTGATTTGAATCGTATCATCTTCTTTATCGGCCATGGGCCATCGTGTGAATAAAGAATAATATTATTATAAAGAATAATACATGTAAGTATGGCATGGCTTCAGTGTACTAGTTCAACTCGCGAAAACCGGTTATTGCATGCAGAAACGGGAGGTGGCCGACGGATATCGATATCATGCAGGTTAAGTGTTAATCTTTTATTCCACGATGGCGTGGCGCCAATACTAGTAATGGCGATTTCGTGGAAGAAGAGGACATAATGGAATACAATGTCATGTAAAACATAGCAGTCGATGGATGGTGTCGAGTTTTTCTCGGTCGTCTGGGACGCCAAGGGAGTGAGACGGAGAGGTTGAAAGGTCAAAACCATTGCCGCTGCGGAGCCTGCGGTGCACACGTGTTAACAAAGTGTATCGCGCTACACGTACTCAGAGTCGTAGTGGGAAGGAATATGTTCGATGCATGGAGCCAGTCGTTACATTACTCAAGAGAAGACAATCTGTTACACGATGAGTTAGTATAATTTATTATATTATCATACTATGAATCGGAGGGCACCGGAATTACAGCATGACAGGGTGGACATCATCGCCAGCTGGCTACGGCATGACCCATCACGATTGCTTTGCACCTCCCAGCTTTAGCGGGGCGTTGCAGACAAGTAGCCGTGAGCAGAGTAACCAGTATCCGCTCTGCCCTTGTTCGAGTTCTGAGCACTATTTGCAGCAAGGACCTCAGGCACTATATCTATCTACATGTATCTATCTGTCTGTCTCTATCTATCCATATATCTCTCTCCATATCTCCATATCTCTCTCTCTTTCTCCCTCTCTTTCTCTCTCTCTCTCTCTCTCTCTCTCTCTCTCTCTCTCTCTCTCCCTCCCTCTCTCCATGTTTATCCTTTCCGCTTCCAGCACCATTCAATGCCACGGAGCGTGTTTGCACCAACATTCAGGGTAGAGCTCACGCAAGCCTTTCACGCACACTTTGCTTTCTCCATGATGTTCTGGACGGTGCTGGACATCACACCACACGTCACGTACTGTCACCCAGTACAGTCTGTGTGTAACCTTCACTACGAACACGTTACACGTCACACTGTGGTTTACCAGATACAAGGCATCCGTATGCTGGCATTGGTTGCCCTCCCAGAAACATACTGTGGTGACGACAGGTTTCTGGTCGCGCAGTGCCCGCGGCAATACCTGAATACTGACGATTACTGTTCTACATGCGCCATGCCAGACACGGTGCCTGTTGTGCCCGTTTTGGACACGAAGTCACAGTACAATGTCAGGTGCATGGCTACCCCGTGGCCCGTAACAGTTACTACAAAAAGTAGTGCCGCTATAGCCTCTAGGCCTAGGCCCTGAGAAGTGAGAACTCAACATCATAATGACGTCACAATGTGTCCAGGGTCCTTGCATGCAGCAGCCCTTGGCAGGTAATGCCCGAAGCAATTTTATTGCAGATTCTAGTACTTAGTAGTGTGATATCGGCAAAACCATACAAAGCGTGTGACAGGCACTTCCATGAATTCTGCTCCATTTCTTTATCCACATACTAAACATGCATGAAACATACCAGAAACAGTACCAAATTCTGCCAATTGTTCTGCCAGAAAGAGAGAGAAGACAGAATAGAGAGGGGATTATCATGATATGAAAAAGGTGAGCATGTATGGAGAATAGGGTGGGAGTGCAGAAGATGTACAGGAATGGATGATCTGGAGGAGAGGAGCACATTTAATAGGCATATGCGGATAATGGTGGCAGAAAAATTGGCAGAATTCGGTACTTTTTCTGGTAAGTTTCATGCATGTTTGGTATGTGGATAAAGAAATGGAGCAGAATTCGAGGAATTGCCCGCCATAAGGTTTGTATGGTTCTGCCAATTTCACTGCCTTTCGAGCAGAATCTGCCACCTTTTCGAGCATTATCCGCCAAAGCCTAGAGCACATATTAATTTTTGCTAGAAGGGGTACATACATCTTGATATTGTTCCCAGGAGTCACTGACCCAAATCCCATGGCTATGGCGAAGATACTAGTAATGAAAAAAAGCATATTATCGTGTCCGCTTCCAAAGCAACACACGACGGCAGCTAGCACCCTGTAAATCCAGCGGCAGATGCAGCGTCTACCCGTGGGGGGGGGGGGGGGAGGGGATAAGTCCCTCAACCACTGGCACAAGTGCCAAAAACCCCATGGGCCGCATCCATGTACACCCCTCGTGCCTGGCCACAAGTTCCCAGATGACTGTGGGCGGACCGGCAGCAGGGCTGGAAACACTGCTCCCAGGCAGGACTTGAACCAGGTATTGTAGGTACCAAGACTTGAACCAGGTCGATCTACATCTCAAGTCTCATATCTCAATCAATGCAAGGTCTCACACCAACCCACTGTCTGTGACTGCCTGGTAGCGCGAAGATGGTGGTGGACATTTGCGTTGAAAATAAAAGCTTGAAGGCTCTTGAGGGATGGAGGTTTGTTGTAGGGTTGCAAGGAAAGGAATATTCGAATATTCGATTGATATTCGTTTGGAACCTGATTGAAGGAATATTTTCCCCTTTAGAATATTCGTTCGTTTTGACACGTACGCACACTCTGCTCTTGCGTCGATCTATTGTAGTAATTCTTGAACGGATGGAGTGATGGGGACTATGACTCACAAGAGTATTGGACATCACTCCACTAGACATCAACTTGGTCTAGAACAACCGGGGACTAGCCAAACTATTTCTAAGATTCTTTTGGTATGGAATATTCAATTTGTTTACAAGAAAATTCGATTTCGTTCCTATTTTTAAATATTTGTTTCACCCTTAGAAATAATTCAGCATTTTAAGAGAATATTCGTTATTCGTTCGTTATGGGTGAGTATTCGTTCGTTTGTGAAATAGAATATTCGTTGCAGCCCTAGTTTGTTGAATAGAGAAGCTGGGAGCGTGTCCATGATTGTGTTTGAAATTATGTGCCAAGAGTTAGCAGGTTAGAGTAGGGGCTACAGTAGGGGGAGCCAGGGTACGAATCGATGTGGACTCGGTTGTGCAGAGCCCGGCGCTCACCAAAGTGAGCCGCCAATCCGTTACGTGAGGGATTGAGTGCTTAGGTACCGCAGTCCGCTGAACAAGGATGTGTACGCGATATCCACACAGCTAGCTGCGACGGGGCCACGACCCGGATCCGCCAAGACACCGCGTTACTTCTTACTTTTTACTTTCCGACAAGGACTGGTTGACCTGTGCGCATGGTTCAGCGATCGACTTCAGCCCTCCGGCAAGGTGTCCTTTCCGTAGACGATTCGCAATGAAGCTTTTCGACGTCTAATCTCCGTTTTCGTTCCTGTGCATGCAATGGTGAGCCAGGGTACAAACCTACCGACTCTGCCCGACAACTTTCTCCAGGAGCTTGGCAGCCCGGACGTGAAGCCGGAGAAGCTGGTCGGCAGTGGCAGCAGTAGCGACGTGTTCTCCGCTCAGTGGCAGAACGCCCTGGTAGCGGCCAAAGTCTTGAAGCGACGAAGCTACTGCCAGCACGAGGACGCAGAGAAGCGCACGTATCGGGAGTGGTACGTCCTGAAGCGCATCGGCGCTCACCCGCACATCCTCCAGTGTCTTGGAGCGGCCAGAACGCTATACTACGAGCCATGCCTGCTGTTCGAGTTGATGACATCTACGCTGCAGGATCGCTTCAAATGCCTGGAAACCGACCGATCCTTTGCTAAGTACCTTCGTGAGATTGCCTCTGGATTGGTGTTTCTGCATCGGCATGGACTGTTGCATGGGGCGTTGATAACCAAGAACATCATGTGGAAAGATGGAACGGTGAAGATCGGCGATTTCGGCCTTGCCCAGTTTGTGACGGTCGAGAAGAGCTTGCCGTACGCGACTAGCTTCGTCGAAGGCACGGAGTACATGCCGCCGGAGGCGTTCTCCGTCGACCACAGCTACGGCTTGCCTCTGGACGTGTTCTCGTTCGGTGTACTGACGCTAGCCTGCCTGACCCGCCGCGAGCCGTCCATACGCCTAAGTGCAGCCAGAACGGAACTCGATATGGACGGGAAGGCCACGCCGATTGCGGAAGCGCGGAGACGCGCGACCGACTTGCATGCTCTGAGTCGATGGCACCCGCTGAGACCTCTAGTCCTGGAGTGCTGGAACCTGAGCCCGTCGCGCCGACCCACTGTCGTGGACGTTCTGGCGCAGATTGATCGTTATCTCTCTCTGCTAACGAGTCAAAGTACAGATGGGGGCAAACGCGGGAAAAGGTGATTCAGGATCTAGGAGGCTCTTGGTAAGTGACAAGATCCGAAATGCTACTCCAACTGCGTGATTAGCAGATCGTGTGTGTGTGTGTGTGTGTGTGTGTGTGTGTGCGTGTGCGTGCATGTATGTGTGTGTGTGTGTGTGTGTGTGTGTGTGTGTGTGTGTGTGTGTGTGTGTGTGTGTGTGTGTGTGTGTGTGTGTGTGTGTATGTCTGTGTGTGTGTGTGTGTGTGTGTAAGTGTGTGTGTGTGTATGTATGTCTGTGTGTGTGTGTGTGTGTGTGTGTGTGTGTATGTGTGTGTCTGTGTGTGTTTGTGTGTGTGCGCATGCACATGCCTGCACATTCACCACTTTCTGCCATCATAAGACAACGTTGTCGGATAGTGTTGTTTGGGCATGTGCTGTGAGTATCATCAGCATACACATACACGTACAATAGCCCCGGTTCAGCTTCTGTCGATCAGCATCCAGTTCAACACCTACATTGTGCCTGAATTATGATCCCTGCAGGCAGTACTGGCCAGGTATACGGAACTACCAACTGACATTGCAGCAGGCATAACGTCATGCTGGCTTGCACACGAACACCGGACCGACTACAGCCACAGACTGGGCAGCAGTCATAGCAGCCACCCTATTAAGTCTATAGCAACAGACCATCACGGCTTGACCAAACCGCTCAGACTTGTACCTAACTCAGGCCATATTACGTTGAGTGTGTGTGTGTGTGTGTGTGTGTGTGTGTGTGTTTCTACTGTTTGAATACTAACTTAGTGCCGGGGAATCAATCGCCCTGGCACGTGACTGTAGCACATCAATTTTCTTGAGTGTACTTGTGTATTTGAGTTCACTTCTCGATTTCAAGTTGTAAAGAAATTGAATTCTTCAGTACACTGCTAGGTACGTGGACGTGGACGTATGCCAGCCAGTGCACAGGTGGTGTATTGATGGCCCAGATTGGTATGGGATACGTGTATTGATGGCCCGGATTGGTATGGGATACCTGACACTGTGACAGTGATACACTGTAAAGCGACAAACTTTCGCGGCGTGCAAATTTAACGTTTTCATAAATCGGGCTGGTTCACGTTGGGAAACTTTCGCGATTCTATCTCTTCAGTCGGATCTTGCACTGTCTGCAATCAATGCACGGAGAGGTTTGCGGCGATTTATATTCGCGAATGAATGTGCGAGGGTCGCGAAAATAGCGAAATTTAATATCTAACGAAATGTTTCTCACTTTACAGTATACATGTACTGTAAAACATGTAATTCTAGGCGTATTAAAATTTCGCTGTCAGGGACCTGCCAGGTTTCAGGTGTAATGTAGAATTAGGTGACCAGCATTCGCTTCACATACAGTGTACATGTATACTCTGGTGCCTTTTAAAATTTAGGTGCCGGTTTTCACTACCGAAATCCCCGAAATTAAAGTTACACCGAAAATATCGTGTTTTACAGTACACGGCACGGTATGCAGCCAGAACGCTTGGCCATAACCACATGGAATCCCCAAACCCTGCGCATCAGGGTATCCGTCCCAAGGTCCACTTCATCTTACCCCTCGACCCCCAGTGAAGGTAATAGAGAGGTTCCGCTGAATGTCATTACCATACATGTGTACCTTAATCCACGGAGCACCTTCATTAGGACAGGCCCATGCACGTACTCTACCTAGACAACTGTCCGTATTGAAGTGGACTGCAAACTCGAGAATTCACGGGGTTTTCCCGCCCACTTTAACATACCGTAATCTTACGCATGTAAGACCATGGTCTTGTTGTCGAAAAGTCGCTGTTTTCGGTCCACTCACAAGTGTGTTTTCGTTCGATTATAAGACCATAGTCTTATATGCGAGAGACAAACATCGCATCGACATGTACGTGTGCAAGTACGCATGTTATTGATGAATGCCAGTACAATGGAACCATGATGAACCTTGTGTGTGGTTTTGTGATTTTCATTCACTTATAAGCGCATGTTCTTATAAGCAAGAGTGCAGACTTCTGGTCGGTTGAGTTGCTCCCAGCACATCAGCACGTCGTCCCTACATCCCCTATGTTTTGTCCTTTTCCTCGTTTCTTTTTGTTCTCCACCGGTTTTCCAGTAGGGCTGTGTCAATAGTAAGAAAAAAGAAAACAGTAGAGTCGCGCGCCCAAGAACGCTGTTTTTAAGGGGTTAGCCTAAGACGTTCATATTTGTCATCAATCTGGCCGCATTCTTATAACACGTTCTTAGAAACAACCCATGCTAAATTAGATGACTGTATCCCACAAGCTCCCAGAAAACCAACACCGCCGTTCTTAAGGCGACTCTACTGTACGCATGTCGCAAGTGAAGCACGCAAATCTGCAAATGCACTACATGTGTACCCACAGGTTTTCTCTTTGGGCAACGATAGCGGACAAGATCTGAATGAGACTGATCAAGACTTGCGCCAGATGACTGCCGAATCCAAACAACTGGCAAAACCATGCGAATCGACCACACCTGGTCTACATCATACAGAGTACATCGGAATAGAACGGCCAAGAAAGTGACCTAAGGACACTTACACACATTTACACACACACACACACACACACACACACACACACGCACACACACGCACACGCACGCACATACACACCATGTGCCAGCTAATTGAGAGGAGATTTGAACAGAGTAGTACAGAGATCCAATAGAGAAATTGTCACAAGGTGTGGCAGGGACACACATAACCGGCCCATGAGCAGAAAAGCGAGTTCAAGTGTCAGCTGATAAAACGAAACGTTTGGTTGGTGAGCAGAAAAGAAGATTCAAGTGTCAGTCGATAAAACAACACATTCGGTTTAATAGAACGGTCTCTGAACCTGAAAAGCAGACATTAGCAAAAACAGAGAGGGAAAGGAAATGCGACGTTAAAGTATAAGACAAAATATATTAAACAAACACGAGATCATGTCCATCCATGTACAATGATCAGTCTTGCTGTGCTCTTTCGTTCACAGCAGTGAGGCGCTACGCCATGCAAAGCGTGAAGACATAACTATACAAAAAAAGCAACGTCGGTATAATATAAACGAGCACAACAGAACTTACAAGTACTTGTACGTACTCTGCGAGGAAAGAGACACAACGAGCACTGAATATCTAGGGTTCACTTGAAGAGAAGAGCATGCGACGACGCACGTCAATCCGCAGCACGGGACAAACGTGCACGTACACACGAGGGCAGAGAGAAAGCGTCACGCGGGCAGGAAGGTTGAATTTGAATTTCACTTGCGTCGCCACACCAGCCATAGGCAGCCGCAAGCCCCGAACATCATAATAATAATTACGTTGTATCCTAATAATAATTACGATGTTCGGCATTAATTATTATAATGATCGCATAGGTGTCTGGCACACAGCACACACCAACTGAACCCACCACCCAGTGTGATCTGTAGTTCGTAGGCTAGTAGCAGCAATCCAGCGCAGTGGCTGAGGGCAGTGCCGCGTCAGCCTGATCCTGCATGTACACTTCGCAAACCACTACTACACGAGATGTGGCAGCCTGCGGAGACGGCCGGCGTCTACCAGGAGCATGCAGCACACTATCACTGGCAGCACACCTGCCACTCTCCTAGACACAAACACAATTACACTCAAGTTATCAATATGAAAAGAGGCACCGACTGTATACAGCAAGGACCCGTTCCACAACAGGCCAAGATATGACACCAGAAACACACATCAGTGGGCTTTGCTGGCAAAGACACTAGCCAAGCCAAGACATGACGCAAGGCCTGCATCAATCGGGAGTCTCGCTGGCAAAGACACGCTGGATGAAGTCAGCCAGGTCGGCACCACTGTTCGGAGGAGATTTGGCGGGAGCACCACCGAGGCCAAGAGGGTTCGCAGCACCACCCGGTCCAGCCACCCGCCCCTCTCCTTCAGAGTTCGGGTGCCGGTGGATGTTCGACGACACAAGCGGCGGCCACGGTACGGGATCGTCGTCTTCGACGATGGAGATCAGAGCAGGCATCATACGTACAGGCGAGGACGGGGAGCTAGCTGAGTCTGAACTCGGCGATGGCTGAGCTTCGGAACGGGACGGGGAAACAGCAGAACTACGAGCGGCTGCCTGCGACTCGGGCTTAACGACGTCAGAGCAAGATTCGGCGACGTTAGAGCCTGGTTGGTTAACGTCCCGGCACGGTGCGTCACGGTCGGAGCTAGGCTTGGCAACGTCAGAGGAGGGCTCCGCAGCGCTAGAAGAAGGTTTCGTAACGCCAGAGCCAGCAGGCGGCCGGGGGGCAAGACCAGGGACACGCTCTACGGTTTCAGATGCCGCCTTAGCAGTGTCTGAGTCACGCTTAGCATAGCGCGCCGGCAGAGCTGTAGGGATGCGCTGCCGCCCAGCGAGTGTACACGACTCGTCTGTTTCTTCTTCGCTGTAAACATCGTCCTCGGTCAGCTCCGGACCCGAGTGCAGGTCGCCTGCCGCACGCAACGAAGACACAACAGACGAATGGCGTTTCTTCAGAACAGAGGTCGGCACGGATGAATGGTCTTTGACAGCGGCGGGTTCGATTTTCTTCGCACACGCTACAGCCCTATGTTCACCAGAAACAGGCGAAGGTGCGGACAACGCATCCGCAACCGGTGGCGCACTTTCACCGCGCTCGCCAGTAACAGCTGAACTACTGTCACGCCGTTGGACAGGCAGAGGTGGTGCCGCGTGTTCTCTGGATGTCGGAGTAGCAGCCGAGACTGCGGCCATGCCTTCCGCCGCTTCAGTGCTACGCCGCTGCTGATCTCTACGCTTGGTGTAGAACACGGATAATGGCACATTGTCCAGCGATTCGACACTCTCTGCATCGAGTGCTACGCTACTGCGCACTTTGGGTTTCTTATGCAGCGGCGGCGGGGCCTCGTCGTCCGGCAGTTGAGGTTTTCCCGAGCTGAGTGTGTCGCTGGCCGCGGGCCGTTTTCCTTTCGTAGTCTTTGTCCTGGCGGCGGAGAGCAAGCGAGATGCCGGTGGTGCAGCAGCCCCTGCCTGCCGAGTCGGCGACATCAACGGCGAACTCGACGCTCCCATGGATGACGTCGTCGGAGTGGCCGACGACGATGTCGCCATGGCTCGTGCACTGTTGGCCGCGGCCGTCGTCGTCTTGCTGAGGAACGCCGAGTTTGGCACATAGTGCGACATGAATGGCGGTAGCTGTATGTGCAGACCTCCGGCGTTCACCACCAGCACCGGCTCGTCCTGGCTGGCCGCCAGTGCCACCGTGTTCGCGCACAGCGCTCGCGCTGCCGGCTCCTCGAGCTCAGCCAGCTTGTAGCAAACGCGTTTCTCTCCGTCGATCTCGGCACGCACGGCAGTGGGCAGCGGGGCATCGGCGCAGTCACCCGCGTAGTTGTGATCCGCGCTGCTCGACTCCACCGCCGCATGGAACTCGGCCGCCGAGTCAAATCGCTTCTGCCCGAGCTCCTGGAGAGCAGAGCAGGCTAAGCGGAACACTCGCGACGCTGCACCGTCGCCTTGGGCAAGTAGCCTGGCGTCTTCGAATACCTTATCACTGGCCTGTGACGGTTCTTCTGACCCTGAGCCAGTCGAAGAGCTCTCGGACTTCCGCGCTGTCTTTTTACGCTTGCCCGGGCCGCCAGACTGTTCGTCATTGCCGCCGCTGTCATCTCGGCGTGTTTTCACGCGAGGAAATATCGTCGGGTCTTGCTCGGTGCCACCGGCTGTTCTCAAGCGTCCGCCGACGAAGTGATTGCCGCAGACCATATCGCCGGCTCCGGGTATCCACTGTGGCCGACCAATGCGTTCCAGCCACAGTATCCGCCGCTGCAGATCACTGGGAAACGTATAGAACTTCAGTCCACGGTCCAGCACCGTGTGATTGAAGCAGTTCGGCACGCAGCACGTCCGTCCGCCGCTCACGCCGCTGCCCAGCTCCCTCGTCCTGGGAGCAAACAAGCTGGCCGACTTGGATCTTGTTAGTGTCATTGAGACGGGATTTACCTGTCTTCGGCGCCAAGCACGTGCACTATACAACGTTACTTGGACAGAGCCTACTCATACACACTGACAGGTAGCAGCCTCTATTCCAAACATTTAGAGGAACCTGCTCAGCATTAGTGCTTCATTTCGTCCATTCAGAAATTAATTGCAACAAATTGAATGCAACAATTCTAGAAATGAGCGTTTGAAGAGTTCACTGCGTCAAGTCAGCGCCAGCGGGACGTGATCGAGATTTTTGTAGTCGCTCCTTCCACTGCCCACGCCATTTTCACTCCTTTGTAGCTGTCTATAGCTATCCTCCTCGGCCTCCTCAATTCTTATCCATGGAATTAATCACGATGCTGATTGACTGTGTAAGCAGTTTACAATTTTTGTTTTTACATTAGGCCAGCTACCCAGCCGGGGAGAATCAATGAATTGAGAAAAATACAGTCGAACCGGGTCGACTCTACCTAAAATATTTGTACATGACTCGACTGCATGTATCTGTCTGACAAAACCTTGAATTACGACATGTCGACAGGCCAGAAAAAAGCCAGTAAAAAAGGGCCTTTCTTCAGAAATCGCCAAATTTTCTTTTCAGCTATTATTACGCATCAGTTTCGGGTTTCGTACTCATTCATAAAAATAATAATTCAGTTTCGAGAATTTGAAGCAGCAACAGTAACAGTTACTGTACGAACAGAACCCTGCCCTTGGCTTGAAGTAGTTGAAGCCTGCCTTCCGCTAGCTATCTCATCTGTCTACTAGGCTTCAGTTAGTTCGACTTACAGCCTAGCCATGGCAGCTGAGGGCGACTGGTGTCTGATTGAGAGCGACCCGTCGGTGTTCACCGAATTGATCCGGGGATTTGGTAAGTGTTTCAGCAACTTTATTCTTGTTGGGTGACTATTATACTTGAAGTTGTATGCATGAGCAGGCGAACATGATCTGTGGCACATTTGCAGAATCGATATGCCGTTACAAACATGGTCTTGTATTCCAGTATTTTCTTAGTATTTTTATTTTTGAAATTTTATTTTGAAATTTGCAATTCTAGTACACTTGGACATTTTAAAGGGGAAGTATACCCTAAAATCAAATTTTCACCAGTTGTAGTCTTCTGGGTGCTGAGTCGAATGGTCTTGGTCCGAGGAAGCTGCGACGCTCCCTTCCTACTTGAATCCCAATCGAACTCGCGCACTTCCACCAAAACTGGGTGACTGCGCCCTACTAGATGGGGATTTGTATGCAAAATGTCACTAAAAGCGCCATTTCGTTCTTATAAAAGCACGGATCACCGCGATTGGCCCATATGTTGTAGTCTTTTGGACGCTGAGTCGACTGGTTTTGGTCCGAAAAGGCTGCGATGCAGCGTTCCTCCTTTATTCCCAATCGAACATGGTTGAACAAGCGGTCACGTGCTCCTGCGTACACCAGTCAGCTGGTCACCGTGCCTGCAGGGTACAACTTACTAGCCTGTTTGACCTTTTTTGGGTACAGTCCTGTCACTCGAGTTGAACCCGAGTTGAACCTTGGTGTGAAAGTTGTCGCCTGCTGGCGCGGTGACCAGGTGATTTGGGCACCCAGGAGCACGTGACCGCTTGTTCAACCATGTTCGATTGGGAATAAAGGAGGAACGCTGCATCGCAGCCTTTTCGGACCAAAACCAGTCGACTCAGCGTCCAAAAGACTACAACATATGGGCCAATCGCGGTGATCCGTGCTTTTATAAGAACGAAATGGCGCTTTTAGTGACATTTTGCATACAAATCCCCATCTCGAAGGGCGCAGTCACCCAGTTTCGGTGGAAGTGCGCGAGTTCGATTGGGATTCAAGTAGGAAGGGAGCGTCGCAGCTTCCTCGGACCAAGACCATTCGACTCAGCACCCAGAAGACTACAACTGGTGAAAATTTGATTTTAGGGTATACTTCCCCTTTAACTTTAATTTTTTCTCAAATGTTCATCAGTTTGCAAAGCATTGTTGCTGTGGGATGCAGGGAACTATTGCGCACTGCATGTATGATGTCACCTCTAGGCTTGATGTCAACACTGGCTCAGCCTGGCACACCATGCACCACGAATGCCCGTCACTAGAGACGCACGCAAATCTGCAAGTTCGCTCACGACGCTGGATGTACACGCGCACATTTTCTCCTTCGGAGGGTATAGTGGACAATAACCGAATGAAGCAGATCAAAACTTGCGCCAAATCCACAAGACTGATGAAATCATGTGAACGTTTAAAGCGACGCCCAATGTACACTTGGTCTATACTGTGCGGAGTATACTACTGTAAATATACAAAATTTCGGCGCTGCAAAATTTCGGCACTTCACGATTTTTGACATTTCGGCGGCGATTTATTTTCGGCGTGGGGTAGAGGGCATGGTATTGCGACAAATGCTGTGAAAAATTTCATCGGCGTTTTAATTTCGGCGTTTTGGGTCGGTGCCGAATATAGCCGAAATTAAATAGCTGCCGAAAATTTGTATAGTTACAGTATACATGTTCTTCAGAGTGAATTTGAAGAGAGGGACAAAGGCAGTTTTTACCTATACACACACCGCACATGTGCTGGAGTAGCCAGTAGACACGACGCGCTGCCCGACTACTACTACCATGACTACATGACTGTATAGTGTATAAAATATAAAATAAATTTCACGGTTCGCGTGAGACTCTCGGCTGAAAGCCGAGTTTTCCGCATCCGCCGTGGGAACGCCACCACCCTCAAGGATCAAAATACTTTCAATCAAATAGGCATAGTGCCTTTGGGTCATTTTCATACTAATCATCATAATACATGTACTGCAGAACGGGTAATTTTAGCGACTATTAATTTTAGCGTTTTCCCATTGTCAACCGGTTAGCGACGTTTTATTTTAACGATTTGCAGTGATTTTACTCACGGATCACCAGTGCACTACTAATGTCTCGACGGATTAGCGACTTGAAACTTTAGCGAAAATGAGTCGATCGCTAAGTTCGCTGGGGTTTTTACGTCGCTAAAATTACCCGTTCTACAGTAATACACTAGAGAAATCATGCTGCATTAGTACATGTGCACTGTAGATAAAGCACACTGCATAAGAGTACAGGGTCATGTGCACAGTAGAGAAAGCACACTGCATTAGTGAAAGCAGAAACTAGACTGGTGCTTTGAAGAGAAATTGGAGATATTTCACGACACTCACACACGAGCACACACACACACACACACACACACACGGGCACACACACACACACACACACACACACACACACACGTCTACTGTACTTGCTTCATGCAGAACTGGTCACGTGGGTAGGATGGAAGGTAGAGAGACAGACTGACAAGCTGAGAGAGAGAGAGAGAGAGAGAGAGAGAGAGAGAGAGAGAGAGAGAGAGAGAGAGAGAGAGAGAGAGAGAGAGAGAGAGAGAGAGAGAGAGAGAGAGAGATGAGCATTGTCTGCGTAATGTCAAGAAAAAGACCCATACCAAACACAATCAGAACCTTGCATGCAGTGAAAGCTAAGCATTTGAAGTTAGGCACTGTCCTGCTGTGCTCTCTGTGTTGATGTGTTCTCTGTCCTGCTGTTCTCTCTGTGCTCTATTAACTACAGGTGTGAAAGGTCTTCAAGTCGAGGAACTCTACTCACTTGATGATGAGCTACTGGCAGCGCTACGGACCGTCGGCCCGGCCAACACTGTGCTGGACTCGTTCCCCAGGCTGTGAGTGGCTCTCTGCCGTCTGCCCTGCTCAATATGAACTTGAATACTGAGCCAGTAACAAATGCAAAAAAGAGAGAAGAAACACATGAGAACGAGTTATGCAGCAACTATCCACGACTGTAACAAGATTCTGAATGTCTCAGTAGCCTGTCAGTTTTGTGCCCTATTATCGCACAGTCACTTTCTGACCGTTTATCATCTTGTTACAGTCGTGGATAGTTGCTGCATAACTCGTTCTCATGTGTTTCTTCTCTTTTTTTCATCATATGAAGTGCGCTTTTTTATTGCGTGCAGTCGGCTAGCAGTTTGCGCCTGAGAGCTCGATCGGGCACTTGGAGTGCGGTGTTTTTGCAGCGATGGGTGGTTGGTTGGTTGGGTGGTTGGTTGGTTGTGTTTATTTGAATTCGCAAGCCGAACGGTCTGAACGTGTCCAATGAGAAGGAGGCGAATGGGGTCCAAGTAACCCAGGCATGGGAACACTTAGAAAGGAGACGCAGATAAAAAGAAAATATGGGAAAAGAAAGCTCTTAGCAAAAGGAAAAAGAGAAAGAGAAAGGAGAAAAAAGAAAAAGGAGAAGATAAATCATGGTCACGGCGAAAAGAAAGCTCTTAGCTAAAGGAGAAAAAAAAGAGAAAGGAGAAAAAGAGGAGATACATCGTGGTCACGGCCAAGGCCGGAGCAGCGGCAGGACACAGCAGACACAGCAGACACTTACATATACTTCCATACCACAACAACAGGAACAAGCATGGATGAAGCAAGGGCCATGCCGGCCCAGAAGCGGGAGACAGGGACAGGAAGGGAGATATCGAAGCCACGCACTCACACGCACACACACACACACACACGTACATGCGTACATATACATACGCACATGCCCACACATCCACGCATGCACACGTATTCACACACATTCACGCACATACGCACATGCGCTCGCACGCGCGCGCGCGCACACACACGCACACACACATAATACATGTGTACTTTTAAACACACACACGTACACTGACAGACACATACAGTATTGCTTTGCAATGTTCTCAGTTCATAGTAGAAACGGGACTGCTGCAGCACGGAACTGACGAGAAATGAAGATGGAGCAAATACTGCTAGGCAGGTTGTTCCAGCATAGCGCAACCTGGAAAGCAAATGTTCCCTTTTCAGAGTTGCTGCTGGCGGGCGGTAGGCAGAGACTCATGCCAGAGTCCAGGCATGTGAATCGGCCACAAGCTGGCAGCAAGAGAACCTGAAGCTCAGGACTTGCTTGGCCGTAGCGGCAGCGCCACACAAGGAATGCCAGCTTCTGCTTGTATACTTCAGTTACCCGATGCAGTGAGGTCATGTGCCGATGTCCATAGCGGGCGTCCGAACACTACGCGGGCACCACGGTTTTGCAGAACCTGGAGTTGATGACAATTCCTGGCTGCCAGAGATGTCGAGAATGCATTTGATCCATATTGAAGATCGGGCATTATGATGGACCGGAAGTAGGTGATCCGACCCTGTGCGCTGAGGCAACGCCGCATCCTCCACAGGACTCCGATCTTTTGAGATACTCGGTTCGCACAGCGGGTTACGTGGTTATCCCATGACATGGTACTATCGAATGTGACACCAAGGTACCTGGCAGACTCCACAAGTGGCAGCAGGGTCCCGTTCCAGTTCACCGAGAGTGGAGTATACTTCTCAGGCAGGTTCCCAGAAATGGAGATCACCTGGCTTTTGGAAGCATTCAGGATCAAGCCATGGTCTTTTAGCCAGTTACCAATTGCTGAAGTTTACTCAGACAGAATTGCAGACACTTCAGACTTAGTTGGTTTGGTGCAAATGAGACCAATGTCATCTGCAAACTGCAAGGACAAGGCTTGTCCAGCAACATAGGGTATTTCCCGAGTGTATACGTTGAACAAAATGGGGCCGAGCACAGATCCCTGTGGCACTCCGCAGGTGCAGCGAGTGATAGTGCTGCATGATGGTCCGATGCAGACACGCTGAGTCTGTTCGGAGAGATAAGACATGAACCACCACAGAGCTGTGGCCGTGACGCCAACATTGAACAGGTCGAGAATTAGTTGGTGATGTCCAACTTTATCAAAAGCTTTGGGCATGTCCAGTAAGCAGGCACCTGTGTACATTCGTTTGTCCTGGTCCGCAAGGATACGGTTGGTGATGAGAGCTAGTGCATCCTCAATGGAATGTTCGCTGCGAAATGCAAACTGAGTGGAGGGGAGTGACTCCGTGACGTCCATGACTGACACAAGTTCCTTCTGCACCAGCTTCTCTAATAGCTTGGACAGGATTGGGAGAAGAGGAAATGGGACGGCAGTGAGTGGCAACTGCTGATGCATGTAAGACGTACGGCTACATTTTTTTCTCATTTTTTCGGGGTAACGGCCTCTTTTACGGGCCAGATAAAGTCATGTAGATGTGAACCGGCTACATGCTTACTGTACACTTCTCTATGTGGGGCAAGTAAATACTCACTGTACGATCGCATTGTGGCAATCCCGCTCATGCAATGCACTGTACCAGTATACTTGTACCATGTCGAAAATACCCGATAGAGTACCCGTGCTACCCGGGAAAGAAATACCCGAACTCGTTACCCGATCAAACCCTTACCCGTTGCAGCCGTACTCTTTATAAGCCTAGCGTACATGTGACATGCTGCTGTGGAACTCATTGTAAGGAGTGACGCGAGCAAACGGAACACTCATTGGTGTGTGTGTGTGTGTGTGTGTGGGCGCGTGTGTGCACGTGCGTGTGTGCGTGTTTGGTGCCCGTGTGTGCATGTATGTGGGTATTACCGCTGTACCGTTGTGTTGGCAGGCCGGTGCATGGACTGATCTTCCTGTTCCGCTGGCACAAGGAGGAGAAGACTGCCGGGACGGTCGTCACTGACGATCGTGCACAAAACATGTTCTTTGCTAAACAGGTAAGACTGGACGGTAGAACAGTGGAACAATTCGAGGCTAACGCAGTTTGTTGTTCAAGGCTAACGTAGTTTGTTGATCTCTGAGTTATATGCTCAGGGCAATCACGTAACACTGCTAGAACTCTGTTCTTTCCCTTCCGCAACATGCAGTGGAACCCGGGGAAATCCAACCCCCTTCAATGACGTAGCTGGTCCCCATGCGTGCTACGCGTGCCGTGCTACGCGTGCTGCCCTTCAAAGCGGGCCACTGTGTGTCCAGACCCAACTGCAGTGTCAGCCTGGATGTGCATGCTGATATGCGGTTTGCTCGCAAACACGCTTGGCCACGCGATCCCGTGTCGCAAGGGATACCTTTGCGCTGTAGTGCTGTAGTCTGTGAGACCACCTGTCTTGAGACACCATCAGTCTTGAGAGATCACCTGACCTGAGAGGCCACCTGTCCTGAGAGGGCACCTCTCCTGCCCTGAGTCACCACCTGTCCTAAGAGTCCACCTCTCCTGAGAGGCAACCTGCCATGAGAGACCACCAGGCTTTGCGGATCAATCATCCCCCACCCCGGACCATACATCAACGTACAAAATGGTTGAGCACAAGGCTGGCCAACCCCATAGAAAGGGTATCAGGAGTTGCACACTCTTGGGGGCTTACATGTACAATACTCTTGATAACAGGTTTAGGAACTCATACAGAGAGTACAACACACTACGTAGGAGTGCCACTAGCACTGGAGAGGTACTCGTCACACACACACACACATCACAATCAACGGCCACTTACTACAGTCCATTCATCGGAAACTGACCCCCTGGCTTTTGAAAGTCGAATTTGGGCCGAATTGAGGATCAAAAACCCACTTTAAATCTCAAAAATCTGGGTTTTGGATCTGCTTCTCCATACATTTTGCCATGGCATGCCTGTTCTAATTTGGTAAAACCTGGCTGAATTTTTTTTTTTTTTTTTTTTAAACAAACAGTACAGTACAATTTTATTGAAACAAAGAAAAATGATGGCACCTATGTACAGGGGATGGCCCACGCCTGGTATAAAGTAAACGTAAAAGAGAAAAAAGTAGTACAGTGAAATCGATAACAATAGTTCAGTTCCCACACAATACCGCTCCTGAGCCGGATCAGACCACAATCCTAGCCTCGGCAACCGCCAGTGCGGCAGAAGCAGAGACAAGGCGGTGGCAGTGGATCGGTCGGCGGGCACCCCGAAGACAGGCAACACTTGCACGCAGGAGGGCGAAGCTCAGCCGGGCACGAATCCAGGCCATGACAGAGGAGTAGGCTTCACGAGTCTTCTCGGACAACATGGAGGCAATGCGCTTGTAAAGAGAAATAGCTGAATTGCCCATGCCACCATGTGCCGAGAAAACCACAGGGATGAAGCCTGCCCGCTCAACGTGCTGAACCCTTTCTCCGTAGGCCCGGCGCTTCTCACGTTCGTGTCGCTTGTAGCAGGATGCCGCAGATGATGAGCGATTTGATGGAGCGTGCGGGTTGAAGACCCGGACGTCCAGGTAGCTCCGTTCAAACCGGCCGCCATAGATACCGCTCGCGACAACATCCAGCCGACCCAGGTCATCCCGCACAGCTGTGCGATAGCGCAAGTTCTCCCCGGTCAAGGGCTGGAGGGTTGGCTCCACGTTGACGTCATGCGCCACACGACCGAGCAGCTGCGCCGTGAGATCCCTCACCTCATTGTGCCGCATGATGATGAAGCCGCCCGTAGCGCAGGAGAGAGCATGTGCAACAGTGAACGTTGCACCGCACGAGCAGGTTGATGGCAGTCGGTCCGGGTGCCACCCATAGCGAAGCGCCAGCCCATCACGAAACTGGGCCTTGGACAGGGTAAAGCCATGACGTGCTAGTGGGCGGCATGTAAGCCAGCTTGAGGCTCCTTTCTCGCTGCCAAGCTCCATGGCACGCTTGACTGGGGGAGATGCATCATTTGCGAGCTCCATGGCACGGTGGGCCACCGACCTTCGCTGCTCACGCCGTACCTCACCTTTGCGGTCCCTGACCTCAGCCAATGACTCTCCCAGGATACCAGCCTGAGTGTTCATTTGATGGACTAGCGCAGTAGTGATGTGCCGAGAAGCCGAGTACTGACTGGAGAGAGATGTAGGATCCGCCAGGCCAAGACCACCATGGCGACAAGGAAACCCAATGAGGCTGCGGTATTCTTGGTCGATGTGTTGGCCAGTCAGCACTGGGATCAGCTCTGTAGCGATGTGACGTTCCAGGGGTCCCAGCTGTTCAGCCGCCCCAGCTAGTGTTCGACAGATGAAGGTCCACTTGTGCTGAAGGCCTCTGGTGAAGGCACTGTATGCTGCCTGAGGTTGCGTGCGTGCATACTCTGTGAGGATAGCTACCTCAGCAAGCCATTCCTCACACTTCTTCTGGACAAAGTGCTGGCAGTACTCCGGTGTGCCGATGGCAGCGCCAAGGTATCGATGGCCTTCACCGGTGATGCGGATCCCTGAGCCGGCGAACACTCTTCGAGCTTCATCCAGACACTCAGGTTTGACTACGAGGACTGACTTTGACGGATTGGCTTGATAGCCAAAAGCTGGGCCCCGTTCCAGGAGACGATCCCACCATACCTTCAATCGCACCATCTTGCCGCCAGCAGATGAATCATCAGCATACCAATGTTGGCATGCCCCATCAGTAGCCACGGACGTGATCAAGGGGAGGATGCCGATGGCATAAATTGGCATAGCCAGCGGGTCACCCTGCGTGGTTCCCTCCCTTGACTGAATGGTTTCTCCCCCAACATGCAAGTTGGCGGGGCTGCGGTAGCAGTTGATGACAATCGTTGCTAGGGCTGGGCATGACAGGCGGATGTTGTGGATACATGCAGCACGGTTGAGGCTGTTAAAGGCGTTACTGGCGTCAGCCATCAGCACACCGTCGACATCCGGGGAGTTGTATACATCCGTCATGGCGTGAATGGTGGCCTCAATGCCACAGTCTTGGCCTGCGCAAAGTTGTTGGCTACCTGCTGCTTCCTGGATATCATTTCCAATGATTGACAGGATTGCTTTTCCAATCACACGACGGATCACCTCGCCAATTCCAATGGGTCTGACCCCTGGGTTTTTGGCCAGGGGCACAAGCCGAGATGCAAGATAGGCCTCTAGAGAGGAGGGGTTGACATACTTTGTTGCTAGGCGGCGTGCACAGCAAGCTAGAGAATCACACAGGGCATCCGAAGCATCCGCAAAGCTGGTGCATAGCGAGTGCCATGTGGCAGCGTCCACTCCTGATGGCCCCGCAGCTCCATTTGTGTGCAGAACTGCCTGGCGTATGGCATCTCGGTTCAACTTCTCAAATCTAACTGGGTGGGGTGACGTGGGGAAGGGTCCTTGCATCAGGGCTTCGTGGCTCAAGGGGGCTGCCTCAGGATGCTTTGCCTTGAGGACCTGTCGAACTGTTTCCTCGGAAATCTGATCGTCAAGCTTGAGAAGACCACCCTCGGCTGATCCATCCAGCTGGCGTAGCGCAGCCGAGATTTTCCCATCAGTAACCAGGGACGCGAAATGTCTTGCTGAGTCTTGTACCTTGGGTCTCCCGGTGGCCGACTCGCAATTCAACTGCCGCTGGATGGTCCGGCATTCTTGTCTCAGGTCACAGATATCACCTCTGTTCCATGTTTCCATTCGGCGCTGGAGGATATCCGTGAAGGTGTTCGGATTGGCCCCCGGTGGCTTCTGGAGCAGTAAGAGTTGGAACGTCATGGCAATCTGCAGGGCGGCTCCCTCAAAGACTCCACCATTCCCAAAGCAGGCTAGGTATTGGGCGAGTTGCGCCACAAAGGATTTCCCCACAGTGCCGCGAGGAGGGCTGAAGGTGTTGGGCCTGAAGTGCATTCCTTCTGCATAGGCTTCCCTGATGGCGGTCATTGTGAGTTCCTTGTCCATTGTTCCTAGTGAGAAGTCTTGCCGGATGTCAGCAGGGAAGTCAGGGAGATCAGCTGCAGCGTTGGGCTCCATATCCTGGTTCGTCTCATCCCTAGGCGGGATGTGGATCCCTGGGTCCCCTGCGAGCTGGGATTGCGAAAACTCCAAATTCGCCAGTAGGGCAACCTCCTCTGTTGTGGGCTCAGCAGCAGCTTGGGCATGTGTGTGGATTGCGCGTGGGTCAGTGTCATGCTGTTGGTCTAATATGTTCCACGCCAGCTGTTGAGAATTTGAAACAGTCTCTTGTCGGCACTCCGCAAGCAGAGCAGACGTGAGTGACTCTGGGGTCTCAGCTGTGGTAGCCGGCCTCATTGTCGTGTCACGCTGTGTAGGTCTGACATCGTCAGCATGCTTGCAAGTTGACACTTCTGAACTGGTGCTTGGCTCCGCGGATTCCAGTAAGTTCCATGCTAGCTGTTGAGAGCTTGAAACATTCGACATAGCAGCGGCGAGTGCGGCGGAGGCTATGTCATCCGCTGTGGTTGCACCGGACACAGGCGTTCTCTGAGCGGTGTGTGTGTTGGCTGTCGATCTTCGGTTGGGCGACGCAAATCCGAGTTGCTCAGGTGGAGCTGCCCCGGCCCCTGGCTTGGGTACGGTACTAACGGCTGGCTCTTCTCGTACGGTTACGGTGTTCTTACAGTTCGACTTCCGTCCTGGCGCGCAGCTCGTGCACTTACGATTCTCTTTAGCACATTTGCATTTGTAGCAGGTGCCATTGCCGTTGCACCGGCAACATTGGCCCTTGGTTTCCAGATGACGACCCCCTGGTGGTCCTTCCATGCTGTCCGCCATACCATCAAAGCATTGTGCGATAGAGTCGTCCGCAGAGGTACAAAAAACTTTACGACGCAGAGCTCCAAAAACAGAGTACATAAACCAGAGTGTGCAACTCGGGATACCTGGCTGAATTTCTATTTCCCTGTTCTTGTAGTATACCCTGCTACAAGTAGTATAGGGCCCAGTACAGTGGGGGGTCTGTGGGTTTGTGTTTTCACAACTGTGCCCTACTGTACCATGGCTCACTTGTCATCTGTCAGCTAATCCTCGGTAGTATAGTGGTAAGTATCTCCGCCTGTCACGCGGAAGACCCGGGTTCGATTCCCGGCCGGGGAGAGCATTTCTTTTTTTCTTTTCTTTTTTTCTTTCTGGGATGTTCAAAGAGCGGTATGCGGTCTCGTCTTGCGCGATTTGTAGAGATTTGGCGAAATGTTTTCATGTTTTGTTGTAGGGTATTTGTCTGATGTTGGTGATATTTTGCAAAATTAATTGTTTGTAGCCGGGCTTCCGCTCGAGCTCTCTGAGGAACACTTATTTGTTCTGTGCTAACCCAATACAGTCCTTCGTCACGTGCTCTGCTATGGCTGGACAGAGCGCTTCAGAGGCATGTTTGATAAAGCTAATCCGTCTGGCTAATTTCCACCTGCAAAATGGGTGCACAGTCTGCGGACAATGCTGTTTGCTCTTTAGGGATGCATCAGTGCTGTACAGAGAAATGAGGCCGAGCCTGGCAGCAATAGACAATACACTTCCCAGGGACAGAACTTAACCCGGCCCGAACGTGCCTTGTCAGAATACTCGCACTGACAAGTCGGTGAGGTACACATCGCCCATAAATACAAAGGCGCGGTCCCATAGTGTGCTGGACAGTGTGCTCAGGTAAACGTCCTGCCTGCTACCCAGTTCACTGATGTGTTGTTTGACGATGGTGTGGCTCTTGTTCTGCCTGGCGTCGTCTTGCTCTCACAGGTAATAACAAATGCGTGCGCCACTCAAGCTCTTCTCTCCGTGTTGCTGAACACTGCACACAAGGATGTTGATCTTGGCCAGTCGCTCACCGAGTTCAAGGCGAACACGGCCACTTTTGATCCAGCGGTAAGCCATGGGGTCTCTCCTTTCTTGACCGAGTGTGTATGTGTGTGTGGGGGGGGGGGGGGTAGCGTGCATGGGTGCGAGTGGGTGGCGTGGGGGAGGGGGTGGAAGTGAGGGGGAGGTGCATGTATGTGTGTGTGGGGGGGGGGGGGCGTGCATGGTACATGATGTGGAGGGGGGGGGGGGGGGCATTCAGACAGAACTAGCTCGGCCACTGCAGAACATAGCCAGGGATGGATCTATCTCTCTATCTATCTCTATAATATCTCTATAATTCTGTCTATCTCATAGCATAACGCTGTTGCAATGTGTTTGCCTCTCTCGCATTGATTGTTAGATGAAAGGCTTGAGCTTGTCCAACATGGAGTTTATTCGTTCTGTTCATAACAGCTTCTCACGGTAAGACTAAAATCGAAGATTTCGTTTCAAAATCTTGAAATCTGTCAAGAAGTTTCCTTTCATGCGACTGTATGTTTTGCTTTGTGGATAATGTCTGCTCCCGGGGCTGACTGGGGATCACAAATGATAATTGAGAGTTAACGCTTCAAGTTTTTTCAATTTCGAACGTGAGAAAAAAACGTGCGTTGAATTTGACCTAAGCGAGGTCTGACTGTACTAGTAACCAGCGCTGCCTCCTCCTTGTCTAACCTAGTACATGTAGTAGCTGCAGTGCTATTCATGGCGCTTGCAACTTACTTCCAGCCATACACTTCCTTCTCCTCCAAACAAAGGCAACTGCAAGCTAGCTGTCACAACCAGTGAGTAACAGATCAGAGATCTACTCCCTGGCCACAACCGAGGAGGTCATGGGGTCGCGGTCCGAGGTTGATTCGTTTAGAAACCATGGAGGTCATGGGGTCGTGACCCGAGGATGATTCGTTTAGAAAACAAAAGGAAAAAAATCGAATTGTACTAGAGTTATCTAGATTCCCGAGATTCTGAGCAAAAAAACGTTGGAATTACTTGAATAAACTCACGCTTTTTTCCACCGTGAATTGGCCCGCTGTCCGTGGAAATCTCACGTTGCAACGTGAGATGCGCCATTTTGGCAATGAGATCTCACGTTCGAAATTGAAAAAACGTGAAGCTTAAACTCTCTAATATAGTGCGTTTCAGAAGTCCAGACCTCTGGTTTCAAAAAACCGTTGGGCCAGCAGCTATACCACATAAAATCTGTGATCACTCTGTGCATAAAAAATATCCAAAATTGGGCGTTTATTACCCAATTGCTTAGAAATGTATATGAGAAAAATTGCGGGAGCTGCCTGAGCAGTATTCCGAAGAAATTTCTCAAAAAGCTCAAACCAAATTTGAATTATGAGAAAAAGTCCTAAAGGTCTATACTTTTGAAACGCACCATAGTAGGCTGGTAGTAATCAGGTAGACGGCATGGAGAGGGGAGGGGGCTTGTGTGGAGTTATAAACTAGTTTCAGATGGGAACCCAAATCTGGATATGAAGAAATGGGATGTTGATCCTACTTTCAGCTCATACAGCATTCAAAGTGGGTCCAGACCAGCCAACTCTACACATCTGGTATCGGCGCCACAACCAGCCACATTGCCTGCATGGGGGTACATCATGAACCCATGGTGATACACCCACAAGCATTACCTATCTTGTTACCAGTCTATGCGTACTCTTGCTTTCACAAGTCTAGATTTTCGGGACTAGGATTTCGGGACTAGAGTTTTGGTTCCAGGGTGTCAGGACAACCAAGCAGGGTTTTGCACCACTAACATTCTCAAGCCAAGTGCTGTCGGTGATGATGGATTTCTTTGTTTTCTTGTGCGTGCATGTGTGTGGGTGTGTGCATGTGTGTGTGTGTGTGTGTGTGTGTGTGTGTGTGTGTGTGTGTGTGTGTGTGTGTGCGTGTGTGCGTGTGTGTGTGTGTGTGTGTGTGTGTGTGTGTGCGCGTGTGTCCGTACATGCACGTGTGTGTGTGTGTGTGTGTGTGTGTGTGTGTGTGTGTGTGTGTGTGTGTGTGTGTGTGTGTGTGCATGTATGTGCGTCTTCTCTCCATGCCCGTGCAGGCAAACACTGGTTGAGTTTGACCCGGCTATGAAGCAGAAAGACGAAGAGCCGTTTCACTTTGTAGCGTACCTTCCCATCGACGGTCGGATATACGAGCTGGATGGTTTGAAGGACGGCCCCATAGACCTAGGTTAGGAGAGCCCATGTGGACCAATGTTTATAAGTCATGCCAGCACCGGTGGAAGCCGGTTTTATTTGCTTCGGCCATACCGTAACGAGGAAACACGTTCTTCTCCAGACAGCTGTTTCACGCATTGAACGAATTGAATCAAATTGAAGGAAACATTTCCTCGCTATGGTGTTGTGAATGTGAGCCAAGTGCACAGTGTGGAGTGTTTCAAATAGCGAAGTTCGTCGCAGCTTCTACATACCCTAGCAGCCCATACTCTGTGTATGGTGTAATGGGTAGACTTGACCTCAGCAGTATATTGATTATTCATATCTTTTTGCATCTTTCCCTCGAGTGGGTCTATTGTTATTAGGCGATTGTCTGTTATAGTCACCACTATAAAGTATAAAATATAATCCAATCCGGTAAACATGCGTCGGTGGTCTAAATGTTGGTCTGGAGATGACCTGACCAAGGAGACCAGCTCCAGCAGGCCTCCATGCTTACAAGTTCTGTACATGTACAGTTCAGGTCAGAGATGTCCGACCTCATGAATAGAGTAGCGCCGCTCTCAAGTGCTGAGAGAGGTGTGCGTGGTGGGGGGGGGGGGGGGGGGTACTTCAGTTTACAGGCAAACAAAATACAATTCAATGTACCATCGTGAAGGATGAGAACACAACACAAAAAGAAATAACGATTTTATGCAAGAAAGTAATTGTGAAAAAAATGCTAGGCGTGCAAACCAAGTTCCCATTAGAAATGAAACATAAATAGAACTCGTACAACACACATCCCCAGAATATGGATGTAAACTGTTCGGTATATCTTCCAGTTGCCTTTCTTCATAACCGGTCGTCGGTGATTGTCTGTGGTGTGTGTGATGTGTGCGGTGCTAGGGCTCTGTAGCCCCTGGCCCTATTATATCATCTTGAGGTAAGATTTCTCTGGCCAGGACTGTATCATGCCTGCCCAATGCACCGTAACCCGATCTGATCCCAGCATAATGAATACTCTCTTAAACTTTGATCTCTCTCTCTATCTATCTCTCTCTCTCTCTCTCTCTCTCTCTCTCTCTCTCTCTCTCTCTCTCACACACACACACTCTCTCTCCCTCTTTGTGTGCAGGCAAAGTTGTCAATGACGATTGGCTGCAGGACCTGCGACCAGTCATCCAGACAAGAATGCAAGCGTGAGTTGAGTTATCACTAGCTTACAGCTG